CAAACCAAAAACAAACAAACAAACAAAAAAAACAAACAAACAAAAAAACAAACAAAAAAAACAACCAAAGGCATTTTATGACTGTGCTTCCACAGGCAACCCAATAATAATATACACCCTGTGTGCAGACCTCTGGTCGCAGGTTAGCTGATTAACAAACGTCACTCGCAAAGGAAACCAATTATTTTGCTTATGGCATTTATAATGTGATAGGTAACTTCAAAATTAATATTTCTTGATAGTTATTGGATTTATTTCAAGAAAAGATTTGCAGAGGAATGATACATGGTCTGAAATTAAATATAAAACATTACGTCCAAGCCGAATAGGTCTATCCTCGCCTACACGAAGTAAATCATTCTGACAAATTTTTTTGTGCATTGAAAAACCATTCTTGGGCATTCTGTGGGAGAGGGGTTCGAGTTTGAGGGTACTGAGGACGCATGCGCAAATCCACTTGGTAACCAAGATCCAACTCATGTTGCCCCCAAGGTATATGCGACAAGTCATCATGAATTTTAGGCGCACTTAAAAAGGTATCATGCCAACTCTCGAGTTGAGGAGGTCGTTCTATGATAGGATAAGCCCGTGGTAAATGTGCAGAGATTGTTTGCTCTTGATGTATAGTCATTGTTGTTAGTTCGTCTAGTATGGGTCGTTGTTGTTGTAGCTGCTGTTGAGAAAGTTGTTGTTGTTGCTGTTGTATTTTTTGTTGCTCTTGTTGTTGATGTATTTGTTGCTCTTGTTGAAGTTTTTGTTGTTGTTGCTGTTGATGATGTATTTGTTGGTGTTGCCGTAGTTGGTGTTGGTGTTGCTGAGGATGTATTTGTTGGTGTTGCCGTAGTTGCTGTTGTTGTTGTTGAGGATGTATTTGTTGGTGTTGCTGTAGTTGGTTCGGCTGTGGATGTAATTGTTGCTGTTGCTGTAGTTGGTATCGTTGTTGTCGATAATGTATTTGTTGCTTCTGTTGTAGTTGTTGCTGTTGATGATATATATGTTCTTGCTGATGTGTAAGTTGTTGTTGATATTCGGATGGCTGAAAACACACTGGCTCCGTAGTGCGAGTTGAAAAATTCAAAGAATGAATGGCATGCCCTTGGTCTATACCCTGACCAATAAAAGTGTTTTTCAGCGGCGGCATCGACGGACTCACGTTTTTTTGCGCTCTAAGCAGCAACCCTTGATAAGAATCATTTACTGAGCGAAAAGCCTGTTTAGGCATCATAGCATGCTGTTGATTTTCCAACATAGGCGAATCCCGGATGAAAACTGCCTGATTTCGTAAGGACTTTGATAAGTCCCCTCCCTGCAGCTGTTCAGGGAATATTTCTTGCCGGTTTGACAATGTCGGAATTACTTTGGCATTCGATGATGTGTTGATGCTAAGATGTTTATTGTTGATCATGTGGATCGAATTGTTATTGGAAAAAGAAGACTGAATTATGTTGAACTCGTTTTCCTGCTGTTGCGGCTGCTGATTCTGTTGCAGGTTTGGCGTTCGGAAGGTATAACCAAACTCGTCCTGTTGATACGATTGCGGTGGGGCTTGAAATAGTCTCATGGGAGACCCATGCTGCTGTGAACTGGCACTGCAAGCAAGTGGCAAGTTTATAGCGGATTTTTCTTGTGGGAAATTTTCAATGACTCTTCCGACGGCTAACGCTTCTGTTGTTCCATCAAGGGGATTAAGCTTCGCTTCCTTGGGTCGCTTTTGAATATTTGGTAAAGGGTCCTTCATGTGAGGAGTCGACGATAGTACCACAGAAGTAGAGGAAGGAACGCATCTTGTAAAATTAGGTGGCTTCTTTGAATGCTCTAACTTTTTTGCTACTTTTATTTGCGAGACAAACTGAATTTTCTGCTCATTTTGAACTGGCGTTTTTGTCGTATCRTATTGCTTTTGCTGCGTTTGATGTATGGTTGTGATTGCAGGATTCACCATGTTTACATTGTTTTCGTCTTGATAAGCAAACGTTTCTAAACTCTCATTCAGGGCTGAGCGATGTTTTTGCCTCGGGGATGGCTTGACAACAGCCACATCCAAATCACCCGATTTTGGGTGCAACTTTGTAAATGCACTGCCTATGTTAATGGCATTATCTCCATCACCAGACGTTTCATTGGTAGTAGTCTTCAGAGCTAATTCCCACATCTCCTCGCCAACTTCTTCTACTTCTTCTACTAGACATTTCAACATAGATGAAGAATTGCCATCATTCTTTTCTATTTTCTTCGTTGGCAAATTTGTCCTTGAAGAACGATTTTCGCCCGTCTCTAAATGGAAATCAGCTTTTTCTTCTTCACCTAGTTGATTCTTCTCTTCTATTTTCTTTGTTGGCAAATTTGTTCCTGGAGAATGATTTTCGTTCGTCTCTGAATTCTGGATATCAGCATTTTCGTTTTCACCAAGTTGATGGTCATTGTTATTTTCTATTTTTTCCTGTGGCAAATTTGTTCCTGGAGAATGATTTTTGTTCGTCTTTGAAAGGACATCAGCATTTTCTTCTTCAACAAGTCGATTCTTCTTTTCTATTTTCTTCTGTGGAAAATATGTTTCTAGAGATTGATTTTCGTTCGTCTCTGAATGGACATCAGCTTTTTCTTCTTCACCAAGTCGATTCTTTTCCATTTTCTTCTGTGGCAAATTTGTTATTGGAGAATGATTTTCGCTTTTCTCTGAATGGACATCAGCTTTTTCTCTTTCGCCAAGTCGATTCTTCTTTTCTATTTTCTTCTGTGGAAAATGTGTTCCTAGAGATTGATTTTCGCTTGTCTCTGAATGGACGTCAGCTTTTTCTTCTTTACCAAGTCGATCACTCTTTTGTATTTTCTTCTGTGGCAAATTTGTTATTGGAGAATGATTTTCGCTTGTCTCTGAATGGACATCAGCTTTTTCTACTTCTACAAGTTGGTGATCTCCTGTCTTTTCTTGATGTGAACCTTTTACCTTTATATTTATATTTTCAAGATGTGCACTCTTATTTGCAATAGAGTCATCTAGCATCTGTAATCCAGTTGCATTATAATTAGTTCCAGGAGAAGACGATCGCTCCGACATCGGCAAATTATCTGGGTTGGAGTTAATCACAGGAGATGAGATCTCCTCTTCACTGGTCGATATTGAGCATAATGGGTCATCAGTTCTTGTCCCTGTCTCTTGATCATCCTTAATCGTTTCAATGAGATCTTTTTTACCTTGAATATCGTCAGTTTTTGAATCTGTTGATGAATGCATTTCTGTAATGCTACCGAAATTCAGCTGTCGCTTAGCACTCGTGTGAATGCTGCATTCACTTTCCATAAATGTTTTGCCAGTTTGCGGTGTTGTAGTGTGCTCAAATACGCTCTCATTCCTCGCTTTGACATTGCCCTCATCTACCTCCGAAGAGTCCAGCATTTGCGGTGAAAAATCGAATTTAGAAGTATCGCAATGAAAGCACACGGAAAAAGACGATACATCGGTCAGTCGTGAGGAACAACACGAAGTTGGAATGTAAAGTGATTGATGATGGCGGCCCGTTGTGTTTTTCGCTTTTGAAGGCTTTTCTTCTTTTTGTTTTCGCAATAGTTGCTTCTCATACCAATATGACGAAGGTGTCACCATTACCAGCAAGTCATTCCTTGTCATTTGGCCAGTCTCTAAGGGGTTATTACAGCTAGTTGAAGTATTCCACAGATCACCAAGTTGTAAGGAGCCAGAAGTAAAGTTTTCACTACTACCAACGCAGTGTTTGTCTGGTATTAAAGTGCTGGAACTAATTCCAGTTCCTTCTGTCATGTTACTATGCGCCATTTGATACTGTTGATGAGTGTTGTTACTTCGGCTATTCAAGATATCGTCTCCATTAACGATAAGTGAAGCCTGACTGGCCACTTTTTCATTTAATGTTGATGATCCTTCTTGCAAACTGGTTTGTCCCGTTTCTTTTTCCTGGTCGAAGGAGAGTCGTTTGCGTGTTTTCGCTTGGTTTTCCCGTTCGTTTGCTTCTTCTGTTTTTGTCTTGCCACCACGTTCATTTACCTTCTTTGTATTCGTCGAGAGAGGAACAGTGTGCCACAAGACTGATACGGCAGCTTTGGTTGACAAATCTTTAGTCGTAAAAGGCTGTTTTGTTTGATCTGAGACATTAACGAAAAATGACGCTGTATATTAGAACTTTCATAAACCTCTACTACTGTAATAGTAAAATAAGACGAAAGTTATAGAAATAAATAAAGAAATGAGAGAACTTTTTGTAAAAGGAAAGGAGAAGGGAGAAAAAACTGAGAAGGAAACGGAAATCATACTTTACAAGGAAGAGAAGGAGGGAAGATACCAAGAATTCAAGGCTGAATCCAACTACCTCCTCTCCTCCATCCCCCTCTCAACCAATCCCCAATCTCGTACCCAGAGTACTCTTTCAGCGTCTTCCTGCTTTGTCCCAGCCCTCTGGTAAAAAAGCCGGATGACTCTGGGCTCGCGAGATCAATCTCCCTCCCTTCTCCCCCCTCTCCCCAATCCTCCCTCTCCCTAATCCACGGAGAGCCTCGTTCACAGACTACATTCCAACTCACCCTCAGGTCTGTAAGCTTCTTCTCCATAAGAAATCCATTCCTAAGGAAGAACAACAATTCACTTATATTAACATAAATGAAAGTATATATATTGCACTGCTCGGAAAACTGAATTCTAATTTAGTTGGCTCAGTACACTAGTAAATACCACTATCATTGAAAGACAGCTGTGTCAAAAGGCGGATTCAGGGGGGCAAAGAAAACAAAACTGAAGAATTAGATGCTTATTTTTATTGTTTTCCGTTGTGTTGTCGGAAGAAACTCAATTAGCCCCCCTAAAATCAATTAGCCCCCCCCCCCCTAAGAAAATTTTGGCTGGATCCGCCCTTGGTATCTAGTACAAAGACATGCAATCCCATGGCCTCAAATGGGGGTGGGGAGCGTGCGCGGTTACGGTGCTGTCTCGCACCGCTGTATAGATCATGTCTGGGGTCGCGCTTTCGATTCTCCCATCATGAAACACATATATCATTTGAGTTTGTTTGATTTTTGTTCTCTCCCTTGTGTTCTAGATAATTAATGTCAGTAGTGGTAGTGAGTGTGATGCGAACCTTATGGAAGATCCCTTTACGGGATCCCTTCCTAGGCACTCTGCCAAGGCCTGATACTCAGGTTATAAAATATGTTAAACTATGATAATCAAAACATATTCTGAGCGCGCGAAGATTCGCAAGCACTATTTGCAAGCACAAACTTAGTAAAATATAAAACTACGAAAATCACAGAACTTACACTCGACGTCATAAACCAAGAGCGGTGATCCTTCAAATCCTGCTCACTTCCAAGTGCATTCTTGGAAGATGGCTTTCCTCCGATGTTGCTCTCTCTGGAATATAATTGGGTGACGTAATCTCCACACAGCTGCTTGAGAAGAGACTGGACCTGACTGTCTGCGTACCCTTGGTAAGGCATTGTTCTTTCGTCATCATACCTGGAGAACAATTCACCAATTGAATTATGAGGGGTAAGGACGAGACAATGGTTCGATTAGGAACCTGGTTTTAGCTGGTGGGTACCGGTAAATACCCCCTCCCCATCACAGACACTTGTTGAACTGTAATGTCTAATTGTGTACACAAATACATAACGTTGTTATACACTATATACATGTAAAGACAGTTTATTCATTTCTGCGATTTGAATTTTAGTTTTGGGGACGTAGAGGAAAAGTTAAGAACATAAAGATAGACCCTATATTAATGTTGTTCGCGATTGGAGCCCAAATGTAGTCTGTGCACGCCGTTTTTCAAAACCTACCGTTTCCAAGCAAAATGATCTTCCTCGTCATCACTAAACTCTCTTTTTCTTTTCAAACTTCCATCACTTTGTTTTGCATATTCATTGTATGTCCATCGTTTTTTCTTCTTCATCTGAGCAGCATCAGCTTCAGACCTATCTTCTCTTGTGGACGATGGTTCTGGCAACCTTCTTTCCTCGTCCGTAGCATTACTTGAGCGTTCTTCGACTCTATTCCTCTGAATGAAACGTCTGTCATTACGATTGCGTCTTTTTCGGATGGGAGCTCTTGGGGGATCAGCAATCTTTACGACAATATTATGAATCCAAGAGCTAACAGGTGCCTCGGAGATCTGCTTTCTTATGCTTGATAGATCTCGTCGCATTCTCGGAATGGGAGATCGAAACCTTTGGGTATCTTGATTCCTTGATTCTCGTACTGCATGCTCTGATTCTCTCTCCCGAGACGTACTTTCTCGAGAGTTTCTTCGCCAACGTCCTTTTTCAGGCGAAACACTTCGTCTTGAATTACGACTACGATAGTAAGAACCTTTCGAATCATCATTATCATCGTCATCAACGTGTGATGGATTTGCATACTTGAACTCTCTGTCTATAGACGTTCTTTCTCGAGACCTTCTTCGCCAGCGATCTTTTTCAGGCGAAACACTTCGTCCTGAATAACGATGAATGGAGTAAGGACTTTTTCTCTCATCATCACTATCGTCATCAACGTGTGATGACTTTGCATACTTGGACTCTCTGTCTATAGAAGTTCTTTCTCGAGACTGTCTACGCCAACGATCTTTTTCAGGTGAAACGCTTCGTCCTGAGTAACGACGCCGGGAGAAAGAACTTTTTCTTTCATCATCACTATCGTCATCAACGTGTGATAGCTTTGCATACTTAGACGCTCTATCCATAGACGTTCTTTCTCGAGATTGTCTACGCCAAAGTTCTTTTTCAGGTGAAACACTTCGTCTTGAATAACGACGCTGGGAAGAACTTTTTCTTTCATCATCACACTCGTTATCAAAGCATAGCTGCTTTCCATACTTTGACTCTCTCTCCAGAGACGTACTTTCGCGAAACTTTCTTTGCCGACATTCTTTTTCTAAGGAAATGCTCTGTCTTGATCGACGGCGATTTGATATACTTAGTTTTTCATCGTCATTTCTGGTTTCTTTATCATCATTATTTTTGAAAGGCTTTCTTCTTCCTAGTGTAGTTTGTTTACTCGTTGCGTCATTGTATTCTGCCGCACGGTTTTGATATTTAAAGTCATCGTAAACTTTCTCTTTATTTGTATAAGTCATCGATTCGTCTAAAGTTTTTAGCCCACTGCCCGTGGATTCTTGTTTTCTGGCGATGAGATTTTTGGTGTGTTTGTCACTAGAACTAGACTTAGTGACAGAATTGAGTTGTTCGGATTTTCTCTCTTCGGCAAGAAAGACTAGTTGTTTGTGTTCTGGAGATCTCCTAACCGGACTGGCGTTAGCGTCTGTAGATATAAAAGAACCTGGATCTTCGAAAATCCCATTGCCGGGAATAGAGCTTTTGTATGTAGTAGATCTGGATTTCTGATTCTTCGAAGACTTTTCGGAAAAACTTGAACCCAAACGAAGATTATTATTAGCGTTTGTATTCTTAATTCTTTTGTTTGTGGTCAGTGAAATCGTTTGCCTTGGACTGTCACACGTTCTCGTCTCTTCATCTTTTAATGGTTTTTCTTGACTCCCAACATAATTTCTATTTTTTTCTTTGAGATTGTGAAAAGATATCTCTCGAGAGYCCTCAGGTTTTTGTTCGTATTCCCCTCTTGAGCATTCATCGTGCAACTTAGTATTTTCTTGAGCTTTTTCAGAATAATTGCTGTCATTCCATGAGCTGTCATGCTCTGAGGTCATTCTTTTATCACTTATGCACCTGTTGGCAGCGTCGTTAATTGAAAACGTTTCCTTCTCATTTTGACCATGAAAAAAATCTCGTTTATCACCGTCGTTTTCGCAGTTTCCTTCAGAGGTTTTCATACCTTTCGGAGAATTCGAGTCGAGTTTTAATGAATGTCGTAATTCGCATTCATTAAGTGACCTTCTCTCAGTATGACTGATTATTAATGCATCATCCCATATTTCTCTCGCACTTGTTAAACTGTTTACGCTATCTACTTTTTTCGCAGTAATATTCCACTTCATGCTAAATTTCCGAGCATCCACAGAAAAAGTGCTTTCTTTTTCGACCTCTGAGTTCCTATCAGCTACTGCGTTTTCAATTCCCTGAAGACTTTTACTGCTGTGGACACATTTGGGAGACATTTYCCCCCCTCTGTTTCGTATAATTCGGTTCATCTGACAACCATCCTTCTTCTGGTCGTTAAAATCTAGCACTTCAGAATCTGAACTACTAGATTCTTCACTTCCGGAGTAGCTTATATATGAAGCAATTTTTTTGCGCATGGCTTCCAACGACTGATCAACCGAGTGACAGTTTACTTCCTTGACCTTTTGTATGTCTAAGGAGCTTTCATAGTTTCCTCCTAAAGAAAGACTTGAATCCTTTTTTATTCCCGTCGCATGTATTACAATAGTTTTACTTGATAATCCATTAATCAATGACTTCCCTACGTCTTCACCGCATAGTATTTTCCTTGGGTTATTAACATAATTATTAGTGCCGTTTGAAAGGCGGTTGTTTACAAATGCAGTTTGCCTTTCGGCAGTCGCCAATTCTTCACACACGGAAACCTTGGGATTCTCAAAGCCTTTAAAAATTATTCCAGATTTTGAAGAACTTCGAACACCATGAACATCTAGGTTTGGGTCTTTCATATCATTTTTACCAGAGTTCGTCAGCCTTTTCTTAGCCGAGGTTGCGTCCTTCAAAACAACCTCCATGCTAGTGTGATGGATGATTCGCTTCTCGGTATGTTTTGTCAGTCAGGATTTTTCACCTTTCGTTATATTAAACTTGTGAAAAAAATATTTTTGGGAAAAATCATCTGCGTCGGTGAACAATTTTTTTCGATGTCTGTCCTCTAACTGAATCAGTTACCGGCGATTTTTTTCCAACCTGACAAGGTATTTTATTCGCAGTGAATCAGAACCACGAATGGCTTTTGACTGAAATGATAAAGTTTGAAAGGTTTTACAGCCGGAAACGAAGAGCATCTAGACATCACAAGCATCTCAGGCTTCAGTCTTCACTAACATCTCTAACTGGTAGTGTTCAAATGACTAGTGACCAGAACCACACAGATGGGTTATTTAACTTGGTAGTGACCAATGTACATATTTATGTTCACATATTTACACGACAATAATCCCTCAAGCCAAACACATCGCTGGAATACATATTAAAGACCATTTATCACGATAATAATCTTCTCTTCCATAAACAGCAAATTCAGGTCGAATTTAAAACCTTCTGATGACGGCCCGTAAGTTTTAAGCTCAACATGAATAAATTCAAGTATAAAACATGTCTACAATATAACGCCATAGCACTCCCCAGACAGATGTTTTGGGGTAATAAATAAATCTATTGTATAGTAATTAACCAATCATTTTACGCCCTAGACCATAAATATAATCAGCGTAAGAAAGAAAAAAAAGTATAACAACACATGTTTATATCAATACATAAACAGATAAATATAAATGGACAATTTGATTTTATCTTTTATGACCTTACCTTAAAGTGACGCTGTCCGAAATATCTTACGCGTACAGAGAAAAGAAAATCATCTTAAAAAATGTTTCTTTCACATTGGAGAAGGGAAATAAAGGAATAAGAAAGTGCTGAAGCCCTTTCATACATTCCATAAGCTGTCTTTCTTTTTCTTTCATTGTTTCTGTTCGTTTTTTTGAAGTCCATATTTGATCAGTTCTTTTCATCTTCGAAATCCACTGAAGTGACGACCGCTGGCGATATAAACATGACCAATAGCGTGACAACAGAGTTAGTTGATCTTTTCTCGTTTATTCAAAAAATTCCAAACATTTCTATAAAACTAAAAAAGTATTATTGCTTTCCAAAACTTGGTTTGTCATACATATTTTTTAATTTCAAAAAAAAATGAATTAGAAAAAAATTCTTTTTTAAACATTGCACATTTTGGGTTCCCTGTTCCAAGTGTGGCATGCGGAAAACTGGGTGTTAAAAAGTCAGTGCGCATGTTTCGGACGCGTTACCGCTGTTCTCCATTTGACGTTTTGAAAACATTTTCGTCAAAAATACTACAAACTTTGCTCTTTTTACCCCAAATTTCCACACTTTTCTCTCGATTTTTAAWGGTAAGCTTGTCTTTAGATTGTATTTTGATGTATTATTTCATTCGTTTTTGATTTTTTGTGACATATTTTGTTAATAATAGTAACTTCTTCAACATCTCTTGTTTAGTCACTTGGACCATGTGCACACGTCCAAATAGTTTACATACTGTATAGTTTCAAATTATAGATCTCTTTTTTAACTTATTCATGTGTATTTGTGCGAATAATCTATGTCTGTTATCAGCTATTACCTTGATTCAAAAGGGAAGAGGTTTTAGCTCGTTCCGTATGGCATATTTAATCCGATTTTTGTTTTTAAATATAAAGTTTTCGAACAGTCTGGGAATTGCTTGCATGAGTTAAGCCTAAGTTTATAGAAGATTAAAAAAAAGATGTGTTTGTGTCTGACAATAATTTCTGACTTCAACAGAAAATGGTCATATGCTAGTTTAGAGGATTCTTCTCAGCCATGGGTCGTGATAGCAGGTGAGTTTTTTTAAACAATTTGAAACTTTAGTGTTGTTACAGTATGAGCTTTAACGTTTAAATCACAATTCACAAATCCTGCATTATTATTCGCTGAGCTGCTTGTGGTCTATCAGTAATAGACCACTTGTAGTGAAAAGTGTTGGTTTTGAAAGCCAAAACGATGATGGCTAACTCAGGTCCACAACCTTTTTCAAAATTTATTCATTCCTTGTGCCTCATGGGCTATTAACTCCTAGACCATTCTATAGTCATCTTTTAGAAACATTTTCCCCTTTAGTCTTGTCACGTGAATACTGTTTTCCCCCTTCGTTATTATAAGCTCTCAGATTCATATTTCTGAATTTAAATTTGATATTGATGAAGTGGATTATGCCATGGTTTCAATTGGTTCGTGTAGCTGTAAAATCTATTATGGATTTCAAGAGTTTGTTACCTGTGAGTGAACATGAGCTCAGATTTCAACTTATTATTCTTCTTCTAAGCTATTTTTCCTCAATTTTCATAGCAGTTTTCAAAATTACATGAACTTATACGTGTGATTGGCTCGCTGAAATTTGTTTTCTTAACTTCCATTATCCAAAACGGATCAATTGCATTTTTGACTGGCGGCAGTGAAAAACCAAATTCGAATGGGCAAATCACAGCTACTCAATTTGCATCATATTGAAAATTACATGTACTTTAAAAAATCAATATGGGATCTGAATATTAGTTGTTAACGGTAATGTTGTTGGGTGTGAACCACCTTGGAAAAACCATGCTTGGTAATAAAAAAAGTATTGTTTATTTGATACAATATTGTATTTTGATCAGACGGAGTAGAAGATCCACATCCCCAAGTTATGAAAGAAGAAGACGCTCAAGAAGTACAGAAAGAGATAAAAGAAAACGGTCCAGAAGTCGCGATAGGGAAAGGGAAAGAAATCGCGACAGAGACCAAGAACGAAAAAGAGACAGAGATAGAGACAGAGATAGAGAACGAGGAAAGGAAAGAGAAAAAATCAGGGGAAGAAAAAGAGATAGAAGAAGATCAAAAGAGAAAAATAGAAAGAGAGGGCATAGTAGTTCATCAAGTAAGAGTTCATCAAGTCGAAGTCGGAGCAGCAGTTCTGAAAAGAAGAGCAGAAAGCGAAGGTCGCGCAGTAAAAGTTTAGAAAGAAAACGACGCCGTCGCAGTAGGGAAAGGAAAAGAAAGTCACGAAGCAGAAGTGACAGTTCTTCAAAGTCAAGATCAAGAAGTAGGGAGAGAGAAAGCAAAAAGTCTAAAAGCAGGTGAAGTGGAATAAACAAATTAGCTTATGTGTTTCCTTGAGATCTTGTATTAAATTCTGAATTGTACATTATTTGTTGACAAAAAAAGTTAGAACTGCATTTATATATGAATCTCAAGGTTAGCTTTAGCCTTTCTTGTTTGGACAAGAGCTGCCAAAATAATTCAAAATTGATTTTAAATTATAATTAGACACCAACTAGGCATAAGGGTCTAACAATCCCAGATTGGAAATCCTATATATACAATGTAAGCATCCAGTAATGCTAATTAATGGTGATTAATTTTATACCAAATATGTCGAATACTAAATTTAAATATCTCACACTTTGGTTGCTTTTCTTTAATCAGTAAAGACAAAAGAAAACAGGATGACGAGGAAATTCAAGATAAAGACAAAAAGAACAAAGAGGTGAACTAAATARTTAGTCTGACTATCAAAAAATACCTTTCTTACATGTTAGTCAATTACGTAGAGATCTGTAATTTAAGTAACAATGTCTAGCCTTATGTTGACTTACTGGTCGATTTAAAATTTCAAGTCTGATTTGGACTTCATTTTTTTCTTCAACCAAAACCTACAATTTTGCCATCACAATGAATTCACTATGCACATTGAGAAGCATTGGCCAAATTAGTTGGCCTACATTTAACGATTATTTGGCGAAGGCGAAGTGATTATCAGTGAATACTTACACGTACTGAAGGGGGAGTCTTTGAGCGGAGAGGTAAATATTCACCATTATAATCACTGAGCCTGAGAGGAATGATTGTTTTTGAATAATTTTAGACTTGAATATCAGAGAAAAATTTGAAATTCAGGATGAAAAACGTTATGGTATTACTTTTGCTCTGGAAAACTTTGAAAAACCCTTCAAATCTCTGCTTGTGCAGTCGTTATCGTCTCTGAATCAGGGCTTATGAGATAACAGCCGATCATTTGCCGGTCACGATGAAAGAGGAATGATAAAGATTGTATGTGCATATGTTTGGGGCAAGTGTCAGGGCTTAAAATAATGGCTGGTAAGTCACCAGTCATAATGACTGGCCAAATTAGGTTTAGCTTGTTCATAACTTATTTCTGGCTAAACATTACTGGTCAAAATGACCGGCAAGGCAAAGATTCTCTCTATATTTATTATAAGTCTAGAATTATGCTAAATACTTATAACGCATGATAATTGTTATGACCTAATGTCTTTGATTTGATTTTAAGTCCGAAAAAGAAACATCATCTGAAGCTATCGATAAGGTAAGAATGTTGTTGGGTGGGGGGAGGGGGGGTACAAAAATCATCCAAATTTTAATTCAGCTGAAACTTTTCTACTCAGGAATAATCAGAATTGCTAAACAGGAATTATCCTTATCAAACTCATTAATAATTCATGAGGAAAACACAATAGAAATCATGACCATGAAGAGTGTTGTAAATCAGATACAGAATCCTGTTCATTTGCATAAACTTTAACTTGGATTTTCTTGGGCAGATTCACTTTAATTTTGAAAATTTTAGTGAAACACAAAGGAACTAACCTAGACGTTTGATAAGCAATCTACAGTATTCGTGTCCTTGTTGTATCCAATATACAAACTCTCGGCTATGCCTCAAGTTTGTATATCAGATACAACACGGCCACTCATACTGTATATATTATTTAAAGGTCTAATAACTAGGACTAATTCCTCCCCATTTCTTTTAATGGGAAATTATTTCTAGTTTAATGTTTAATCTAAGTGGTATTTCCTCATGAAAGTTTATGATTTGAATTTATTTAGCTTCAGCTTGTTAAATTGATATAATAATTTTCTAGATCTCAGAGCAAAACCAGCTTGACCTTGAGATGCAGAAGAGAAGGGAACGGTATGTTTATTAGTATTCTTCAGATTTACGTATTTATTTATTTATAGTACAAATTTAAAATCCACGATAATTAAGTAACTCTTTATTGATCTAACAGAGTAGAAGCCTGGAGAGCAAAAAAGAAACGAGAACAGGAAGTCCAGGATGCTCAGAAAAGAGTACAAGAAATAAGAAAGAATAAAGTATGGAGTCTGGAAGATGACGAGGAAGATGATGAAGCTGACAATGTTATTGATGAGGTGATTTTGTGTATACTGTACTTATTGCTGCGATTTAGCCTCCTCTTGCTTCTCTCCTCTTTCCTCTCTCCAACGGTGGCCCACAACTGTTAAGACAAAATATACCTTGTCATAGCAAACTTAAACTTATTACAACAGGGATTCAAATAACAGCTGATCAGTAGTCGGTCATGGTCACAGGCCAAATCAATTTTCACTTGGTCATACCTCATGTTACCTGGTCAAAAGGCAAGGCAAACATTTGACCAGACAATTCACAGTTCTGGTTGCCAGACAATATAACTTTCCTGAGATAGAAATCATCTATTTTTATTTTAATCTACTTAAAATTTCCATGGCTTACTACTGTACTCTCTTCTCTCCAACCAACTCTCTCTTGAGTTCTCTTTCTTGTCCCTTGCCCTCCTCTGTCTCTCCTCATTACTCCATTCCTCCCTTCCTCCAAATGTTGATCAGTTTTGCCCTAACTGGATCATATACATATACCTTGGTCCATAACCTTGTCATGGCAAACTTAAAATTTCCATGGCTCCAACCAACTCTCTCTTGAGTTCTCTTTCTTGTCCCTTGCCCTCCTCTGTCTCTCCTCATTACTCCCTTCCTCCAAATGTTGATCAGTTTTGCCCTAACTGGATCACATACATATACAGTAGCTTGGTTCATAAACCTTGTTATAGCAAACTTAAAATTTCCATGGCTCCAACCAACTCTATCTGGAGTTCTCTTTCTTGTCACTCCTTCCTCATCCCTTGCCCTCCTCTCTCTCCCTCCTTCGTCTCTCCTCATTCCTCCCTTCCTCCAAATGTTGATCAGTTTTGCCCTAACTGGATCATATAGCTTAGTTCATAAACCCTACAATGTGACTGTTTTTCATTTTCACATTACTACCATTTTTTCTTTTACATTACAGGAAAATAAAGATGAAGAAAAAGGTACTGTATAAGCTGGCTTTAAATCATGTTACCTGTATATCAATATAGTTAAAACTAAAACATTTCTTAATGAAAAATTTGTTTGTTTTCAAAAGATGATTCAAAAGATGGGACAAATGGTAATGTGAAGGAAGAGGTAAAAAATATGAATAATTATCATCGTCATCATCATCATTATCATCATCTTCATCATCATTATCATCATGGTCATCATTATTGTTGAAAAGTACATGCATTCATTTGGTTACCATAATACATAATCTAGTACACCTCCTTGTAGTGTAATATATTATAAATATTATATGAAATTAATGTTTTGATTCAATCTTTTGACATTGTTACTTAGGATGAAGACGTAGATCCTCTTGATGCATTCATGGCTACAGTCAATAGCAAGGTAAGCCTTGATGACTCTCATTTTAACATGTATAACGAGAGATAATGAGATTCTTGTCTAAAATTGTGTACCATTAAACCTGTTTTTTTTCTTAGGCTCATAAAGAAAATCCTCTTGCGCATAAAAAAGTTGGTAAAGGAAAGGCTACATTCGTAACTCACGTGGTGTCCAAGAAATCTGTCGTAAGTGGAACTTTCACTCTCACTTTTGTTCAGCTACCTTAGAGGAACCCCCTCTCCCTCTGTGAATCACCTCTGAGTGACGTTGGTTTCCTCATTTTTAGCTCTTGTACTCCATTTTACTTTCACTCTCCCAGTCCCCCTCTTTCATTCTAATACCACAGGAATCCCATCCAATATTTTTGAACATTGTGTAGGAGAAAAAATAATTTGTAATGTTTTTGTCTTGTTTAAAACAAGGTAACAAAATCAGCAGGAAAGAGAGGAGAGTTGATGGAAGTCAATCCAGACGCCTTAGAGGTAAGTTGAATTTAATTTAAATGAACTCTATTTTCAATTGGTTCAATAGTCTGGTCAATAAACCTCTTTAGCTTGGGCGCAGCGTTTTTCCATTTCAGACCATGTGTCATTCCCTTGAGTATCATTTCTTTGTTTAAAAAAACACTTGAAAAGATGCATGAATATGGATACAACTGAAAGGAAGAATGTTATTCTCAAGAGAATGACACATGGCATCAATGGGGAAACATTAACCCCAAGGTATAAAGGGCCATTAATTACACCATGCCCTCACTGTGCTCTGTCATTATTAAAAAGATATAACTAGCTAAAAACTAGTGTGAGCTGCGTCGGTGTTTCTAATGAAACAGTAATGATGAAAAGGTAAATTATACATTATTAAACTTCAGTTCTCAACCAATCAGAGCTTGCATACCAAAGTGACCACATCCACCGAAAAAAGCAATGTTATTTATTTACATGTAGTTATTCATTTTACTTTATAGTATTCATCCGAGGAAGAAAAAGAGGAAGAAGACTTAGAAGCTACATACTCTGGATACAAGACCAAAAAGAAAAAGGTATATTAAATAAATTTGCAGTCAGGTTGACGGTTCAGGGTTTTTTTTTATTAAGGCCTGGAGATTGGAAAATGCTCCAGTGACTGGAGCATAATTCTCTGACTTAAGGACGGTGCCTACTAATTGAGAATCAATTATTTTTTTAAATGACTATGTGAATTATTTTAACCTAT